CATCATCATCATCATCATCATCATCATCATCATCATCATCATCATCTGAGTTCTTTTAAATGTTGAGCACAGTAATTTAGAATACCCGCGTGAAAGTGCGCGCCTGTATCTGTCAAAAGCGAAGATGGAGATAGCAGTGGGCATCAGACTGTGCGCATAGTACATAAACAGCGCAATATGGATTCAAACTGCCGGGATATGTTCATAACAAATTCGGAGTGTCCGAACCCCTTGTCTTTCAACCCTAATCGGAGCAGCGAAACGAACATTTGATCAGATCGTGTATCATGTGTGCCTAGGAGCAAACTTTCATCTCATCTTCTCGCCTGAAGTATTCAGTTGGGGTGTTGGCGATCTTGTAGTATCTCGCCTGTCTGTCTCAAGTTCCTACCCCTTTAGTATTTGCGGTGAACCCTCAGTTCCATCATTTCAATGTGAGTTGCGGTCTACGTTGAGTTAACAGTTCGAACGATGGACTGTTTGTCGGATGGCGCTGAATTTCACATGAAACCCCATCAAAAGCCAAAGTTTCCCGAAGACGGTGGATAACCAAACCGTCAGCCTAAGCGCTCTATCCTGCGAGAGGAGATGCTAACTAAAAAACTTAGCTTCGAATAAGATGGACTTCCCGGCTTATATTTATAATTGTATAACAGAGGGCTTTATTTCAGCTGCCGGGTACACCATACTGACAACACAAATACTAGCTAAAAGGCCGATATGCTGCCGTAGCATAACATAGCTCCAATGAGTTTTAGAGAAAGAGAAATATGCTTTATTTTGAAAGTAAAAATCGAAAATTTTCGGCAAGAAATGACTTCATTCATGGAGAGCAAGGGATAAGGTAAAGTAAAAGGTCATAGAATACTAAAAGTTTAAAGGTTTTTACGATATCTACATCTGTTATGGATATATGTTGGCTTTCAATTTCTGAATTTCCGTTTCTTCGCACGTTAGGTAACGTGCTAGGAATGGAGGCATAGAGTGCTGATATGCCGACGCACGGCAAGACATATGACGGAAACTTCGGTGCATATTACGGGAAGACTTCGCGGCCAGTATTTAAGAGGGGAGAGGGTGAGCGACGTCACCAGGGATACGATCAGCAAATTGCTTGACCGTTATAAAGTGTCGCTGTATTATAATACCAGCAAATAAAGCATAGCAAACACCGGCAGCTGAAGAGAGCATTCGGAGGACACGTTTAAAAATGACCAGGTCCTTCTTGAGTAAAGCTGGAAAAATAACTGAAGAGCAGTAAAGAATGAGGGGGAGAATGCAGGCATCTATAAATTGCCAGATTAAGGCTTGCGGTATGCGAGATGAACGCAAGTGGTGGATATAATATAACAGTTTACGGATTTTGGGCTTATTTCTCAAGGAAAAGTAAAAGTCAACATTCATTTCAGCTGTAAAACATGAGTACCTTCCTGCTCTCAGAGTGCTGATTTCAATTTATTCTTATCCAACTGCATTTAAACACGTAAATACTCTCACTGTATATATAGCAAATATCTTACATTAAGCGTCGTCTGCTTTTAGGAGCGCATCCACACACTGGAAAATGATTTGCTGGATAAAAACGACAGGTGGCGCAATACTGAGCGGAAACTCCAGGAGGCAACGGACGCGCTGAACCGCCTCTACGAAGTGACCACACAGGCCACCAAAACAACAACTGACATTAATTCTCTCCTGGAAAAGTTCGGTCACAGAACGAAAAAGGAACCCGGGGTGGAAGAAGCAGCATCGCCGAAGAAGCCCCCAAGTCCATTGGAAGTAGTAAAAAAACTGTGCACTGAGGTATGTCCCAAAAGTAGTTATCCACATTCTCTAAATAGCCTCACTTCGAGTCGCTGAGCATACGTAATAGCATATAGAAATCGGCATCTTGATTTCATACTATACGCAAGAAGTCGAAACATAATTTTACAACAATAGAGATATTAATGCACATGGAAGCGTTAACTCGGCGAACCAGCATTATTTTTTAAGCGAGCAGCCAGCAAGTCATCAGGTCTGCGGGCACAACCTTGAGTAATAGACAGACCAGTGTGACGCTCACGGCCAGTAGGTACTTCAAAAAGCCTCCATGCTAAAAAAGTCAATAAATGCTGTGTTCGGTGACTTTGATAAAACAAAATTAGTGGTCACATCTCACGGCGATTGTTTCAAGATGCATACTGAAAGAAATTCGTGCAGTGCGTGCAAAAGCAATAATGAGAATAAGCAGAAGGATATTATCGACAAAGACTAGGAAGACTAGGATGGCCATTTAATGGCTTATTAGCCGTTTTCAGTCAGTCATACCCGACCCAAGTTTTACGTGTTGCCCCAGAAACTGGTGCCCTACTCGAGTTTTGAACCTGCGACCTTGTTAGTTAGAAGTCCGACGCTTTAACCACTGCGCCACGGGCTCGCTGTCTTGTCGGTTTTTAAACGGGAATATGCAGTGGCAGATAGGCGTAGACCGATCACTTAGAGAACACACTCGTCCGTCCATGGTGCCTTTCGCAGCTCACACTCGAGCCGACATTCAAACTCACACTCGAGCCTACGCTGCAAGACGGCTAATGATATTGGCAGAAGGAGATTAGCGATAAAGACTCGAGTGTGAGCTGCAGAAAGCACCAAGGACGGACAAGTATGCCCTTCAAGTGATCGGTGTACGCCTATCTGCCAAAGTATGAGACTATCTTTTATCAAAGGAAAATTTACGGCTATTGGCTTTTTAACCGCGCCATAAACTATAACATTCTGTCAGCTAGAGAAGTTTTTGGGAAGGGATAATTTTTAGCATCTCAGATGAGGGACTCTTGCCACCTCGCTGGTGGGCTGATTTTGGTTTCTCAAGTTCACATTGTACCCTGTTAACGTAACACGCAAGATTCTTCTCTTCATATTACAAACTCTTAAGGAGCATTTCCTTCATATAAGTCTTCTAGCAAACTACCGGAAACAATAAACTGAAACGACCCGGTCACAGGAAACATGCCCAGGATTCAGGCTACAGGGCTCGGTATGAGTGGGTTCTTCGTGTAAGTGAGCGTCTAGTAGCAGTTTCAAAACAACCCCTTTCTGATTTCTTTTCGCTAATAGTTAAAGCGACGGTGAAAGCAGAAAATGCTATAACACTGAACCGTTTGAAGTCACAATAACGCGTACCGTTTTCTGAAAAATAATTTTACCCACCTCTGTGTATCCTGATTTTAAAAAAAATCTAAGGCCTAATTCCATGCTTTAGTCCTCCAGACTGGTCACCGAACACCGACACCTGATTGCCCAGAAAAATTCCCTCACGAGCGAAATGGAGAAACAAGCCAAACTGATGAAAGATTCCCAGAGTACAATTAACAAACTGCGATCACACATCGGCGCAATTGAACGAGAACGCGCCGGTATCACTAATACCCTTGGTAAGAGCCTTTCGTATCGAGCTACCCTAGCAGCGTTCTGAAATATCTGCTCCCCCAGACAACTTTTAGTTTATTATTCAGAGCCCTATAGGCTATAACAGCAGTATTCTCTAAGTATGAAGGGGGAAGAGGATCACTCACTTAGGTAATTAAAGGAAGGATACATATTCTGATGTGCTAGCCCTAACACGAGCCCAATATAGACCTAAACAGTAGCCCTACTCTAAACGTCTATCCTAGCGTAAACCATAATCATACAGTCAGCACTGATTCAATCTTAAATGTAAACTCAACCCTAAATTACCTCGACACTTATCTTAAACCTAACCTTAAACCTAAATCTCAACTTAACTCAAACCATAAACCGAACTAATTTCCCTGGAATTGGACGCGAGGATACTTTTCTTGCTAATGCTTCCCTTTTTCGGAGGCCATATACATAAGTCATCCTTATTGTACACTACCGCGCTGTAGGTAAGAAATTAGACCCTGCAAATGACATGAGTACGACTTCCGTTAAACAAAACTTTAATCTAGCATAGGTTAGATTGCTAGATAACAAACACAGATACCTTGACTCAGATTTCTGGTTGGATGCCTCAGTCCTCCTCAGGTCTGAGGATCAGGGGATGAACTAGTCGCCACGTTTGGCGCATTTCTCCTACATTTAATAAATATGTGTTACTCAAATGTAGTAAGTAAGACTATACCAAACTAAAATTTAGGCGGTGACGGACTTCGCGTACAAAAGTCCTGTAAAGATTGAGCCTTGAAAATCTCTCTGTCATAATGCGTTTAAATTCATGGCTTGGAAGATTGCTACCTGTTGGGCCCTACCTCGGCCCTCCTCAGAACTGACAATCTGGCTGCAACGGTTCCTCCTTAATGTGGCCTCTATGAAATTCACGTATGTTAGATCCAAGCCGCCGTTATGGTCTATGTAGTGGAGACCAGGTCCTGGCTTCTATGAGATAACAGTGACAGTTGCTCTTAAGCGATTGTGAAGCAGGTTCAAGTGGCATCCAAGCAGTGTGTTGTATTTCCTGAGCTTGGGTCTTCTATTGCGGCCCATGTTGCGTCGGCCGGGGAGGTGGTGTGTTGAAGTGGCCCTTAGGCTGCCGCGACTATCTGGACGCGACGTGTGCATGACTGGAAGTCTATCAAAGGTCGGCAGGTTAGCCAGTCGGTTAGCGCTCCCTGTGAAGTTGCATGAATTTGAGACAGTGA